TTTTAATTTATACATGGCTGGCATATTTTAATATTTCTAACACTACTAATACTAATACGAATAATACTAATTTATTAACTATTATTTTGGGTTCTATTTTTGGGGTAGAAATATTAAAATATGGCACCCATGTATAATTTAAAAGATCCATTAAATATATATTAGCCGATACGTTAGTTGAAGATCCAGAGCCATTGGTGATTTGCTAACAATTTTTTTAATTTTATATTATAATATAAAAACAATAATAAAGAATATATAAATAGTTATTGATATCATAGAATACCATTGCCAAAAATTAATATCGCAGCTGATGGTGAAACGGCTGATGCTGAAATTGAAGTTTCGATTTGAAAATATAAACCCTGCTAAAATTCACATATACTCTTTAATTATCGATTCTAGCCCAATCCTAACCTAAATCTAACAAAAAGCGGGCAAAAACACAAAAAAATTTAAATTTTCATATCAAAATAGGTCCGAATTTCAGCATCAGCCGTTTTCAGCATCATCTGCGACAATTAATAATGCTAATTTAAAAAAACAAATAGTTGTATAAAAGTAGTTTTTGTTCTTAAAAAGTTATAACGTCGTTATGCTAACTTGTCGAAAAACATTTGTAGATTAAGAATCTTTTGCAGTATGGATAATCTCTTTAGTAAAATATATTACAAATCAATTGATTATAAACACTTTTAGTAAGTGAACGGGAAGAAGTCAGCTAATTTTAGGGGAAGGGTTTCTTGTTTGATCGGGTTATTGTAAATTTGATTCATTCTTAATAAGGTAGGAAAGGGTATAGCTCCTTAGTAATTGAAATCACCTAATTTCTGTTTATGCCCTAAAAGGTTAAATATAATACGATCAGGCAATAAACTCTATAAAAAGGGTTACTAGGTTTTAGTTTTTGTTAGCATTATTCAAAAATGTCCAGAAATAGGTATAAAAACAGGAAAAAACTATGCATCAAATATATATTAGTATCATCCTATTTTTATTCCTACAAAGACCTCTATCAAATCTTTCTGAATAATGGCAAAAACTTAATAAAATTAAGCAAACTTTTTATAATATAAATCAGAAATAAATCATATTCTGATTTGCTCTGATTTGTATCAAATTTAACCTTTTTCACTAGTGAAAGTGGGTCACCTATACTGCAAGAAATTAATTTTGGCAAAGTCTTACAATTTTAACAAAACTATTTATATAACAGTACAGTTTGTTCAATGTGAGTAATTTATCTTTTGAAAAGATGTATAAATAATATAGCAAATCGTAATCGGTTTTCTTATGAAAAATTCGTGCTTGTGCAATAATCTATAATATTTTTTGATGAATATAACAATTACCAAATGCAACAACCATATAATTCTTATAAAGTGTTGCTGTATGAAATGCCAATGGAGGAGGACTTAATCCAAAAGGTTGAGGGGTTGAATATTTGAAAGGTTCAGATTTGACATCCAGCAATACAAAAACCGGATATGCTGTAGTCTGGTTAGTTACATAACTTCGTGTTCCTCCTAAGATAACTATAGTGTAATTATCTGGTGCTTTAGAATCAAATATGTACATAAAGATTAGTTATGATTATTTAAATTATGAATATAAAATAAGCCTAATAATAATGATAATTTACTTAAGAGAGCGGTGTGTCTAACACGAGACTCAATGGCCCCTAAAGCGGACTAAATAAATAATTTACTCATGTTGTTAAAAATTTCAAGGAAATAGGAATTTATACGAAGATATTATATACCTTCTGCGACCAAGTTGACGTAATAGTATCAAAAACATATATCTAAATCAAATATAAAAGACTTTTGTAGTGAAATGACTATAAACCACGAATGTGAGTATTGTGCAAGATTTATAAGATATTGGCCATAAAATTTTTTTGGTCAGAGCAAATGATTAGCTGACATGTGTTGTGTAGCAGCACATTTTAGCCAACATTTGCTCCGACAAACCACATTTTGTGATATTTATCATTACATGATTCAATATTGATGTTATCGTGCAATTATGATCATGATTTACAAGTCATGATATGACTGAGTTTTAATCTGGTATTATTTTTCTTACGTAATAACGTACAAAAAATAACAAGAAAACAATCTATGATAATAAAAGTTTGCATGATAACTTAGTTTAACGACCAAGATAGATTTGTCTAGTTAAGACTAATCGATATAATACAGTAATATATAAATAATATTGATCAATTTGTAACAAAATTCACATTATGCTATCTACCTTATGTAGACGTTTTAAATTTAAATTAGTCACTCACCTCATTCATTTCTATGGGGTTTGCAGGTTCGCCGGGGTTGGATTGAGTAACACCTCCTATGTAAATAATTTTTCCATCAGGCATTAAAGTTGCTGTGTTATGACTTCGTTTATATGGATGATTAGGAAGTGAAGTCACATTTGTCCACGTAGGTGTTAAAGTATCAAATGTAAAAAAGTCATCCAATATGGTCAATACATCCGAACCAGTATCCACCGCCACCCTCCCACCTAGTATAAATATTGTACCACTTTCGCTAATAACTGTTGCAGCGGATCTATGCATGGGAATTTGCGATCCCTTAACTCCTGTCCCATGAACTTCCCATCGTTGTGAAATTAAATTATACATCCAAAGTGTAGAATTTGTCGCATTATAACCAAACGTCGTCATATTTTGCTGGACTCCCCCTATAAGATAAATCCGTACACCACTATTTCCTAACACTGCTGTTCCCTTTTCACTTCCAAATGGCATTCTCGAAGTCGCAGAAAGATCTGTAAAAGGAGGCGAATCAATGGTAAACGATGAAGAAAGATTCAAAATGAACACCTCATCTGATAGATTGAATTGATGAATTGGAGTCCATGCAGGTGAAGTTTTGGGTATAGGTCTTGAACCACCCATAAAAATAATTATGTCATTGACCAGCGTGGCCATGTGCCCACCACGTGGTTCAGGTATAAACGAACGAACATTAAGAAAATTTTGCGATAAAATAACGATTATGCCCAATGGAGGATATAAGTCTTTGAAATTCGTAGTCAGCATATTTAAAATTACTTAAATTTGTCGTTATAAAATCGAAATGGTTTTGCATAATTAATATAACGACTGTTAAGATATACCTAATACTGTGTTACGATAAATACTTGTATTCTGGAAAAAGTAGATGAATTCGTAACGTAACTTAAACTTTTTTTTTTCTTTAAACCCCTCCCGGCAAGACGCCATATGGCGTTAGTTGTAACAAATTTGTAATAGTGGTGTTTGGATATTTCCGTGTCACGAATTAATCTTTCTTTGTTAATGATAATTGTCAATAATAAGCTTGTTAATATCCCATTTCAAATATAGTCTCCCAGTTACTGTGTAAAGCCACAAGAGATTAATGAATAATGCTCTGGGTCACTTTGTACAAGTGGAACGGTCTTAAGCACTGCATTTTTCAAAATTAAATTTCCCTGCAAAGGCAATACAAACTTAATAAATCTGTTCTCATAACCCGGCCGGGTTATATTTTACAAAACTTTAAAAAAAAATTTTTTTAGGTATATTTACTATCCGATTGAGTTTTTCTAAAAAATCTATAAAAAGTTTTATGTTTTTTAGGCCACGCAAAGTTAATTTTTCGTTTTGCATAACCCGCCGACCCATTTTTTCAAATTTTCAAAATTTTTTTTT